TCGTAAAGTCAAGTGTTCGTTAAGTCAAGTGTTCGTAAAGTCAAGTGTACTTGACCCCATGTATTCTCTATGTATTTTCTCTGCGGGGCTCCGCACGGAAGAACCCTTCGCGATGCTTTCGGGAACTCATATCGGCGGGCCAGAACAGCCCTACGGGACGGCACTGCGGCTTATCGAGGTTGGGAAGTTAGTTTTGCCCAAGCCAACCGAGCCTTAGGGGCAGTCAATCTACCGGGTCGTCGGGCTATCCCCAGACCAGACAAAAATGTGTTACAAGCCTCCCCTTCTGCTTCGGAGCCAGTCGTCGAGGCAGCCTCCGACCAACTCACACTGAACGTGACTCTTATCGAAAGGGCCTGCGGGAGATTTTGCTGCAGCCCTATCACTCTTAATGAAGTTCAGGAATGGGTTCAAACATATCCACATCATGTAGTCTGCCTGCAAGAAACACATTGGTCAAGAGCTTCCCAGTTTCGCGCCAGGGGCTGGCATGTATCACGAACGGCTATGTCGCCTCGGACTCCAAGCCGCCCGAACCTCCCAAAGCTAGATTAAAGCAACCCACGACTAGACCAGAAACCCCGAACCATCCACAATTAGACCAAAGACCCAGACCCTCCCAAAGCTAGATTAAACCAGTCCACAACTAGACCAGGGACCCAAAACTGATTAAAGCAAGGGCGAGAAGCTGAAGGATGTAGTCCGGGTGGGATCCTCGCCATCCAGCATCCCGCCAAGAGCATTCAGGAACCAATCGTTGGCGACAGCAGCTTGGGCGGCTTCCTGGGCGAATCAAAGTTTAATGGATTGAGGGGCAGTGCGGGGTGGCTTGTTTCGGTTCGGCGAGTGCAACAACCCGAGGATGTAAGCAAAGTGCTTTTTCTAATGCAGGGGTCCGACATGTTTGGTACATCCTGCTTGTTGCTCGCTCGTGCTTTTGGCTGGGGTTCTGGAACTTGCAGCTGCGGGCCTGCTTTTGGCTGGGCTTCTGGGGCTTGCGACTGCGGGGCTGCTTGCATTTTCTGGGCTTCTGGAGCTTGCGGCTGGGGGGCTTCCACGGTTGGCTCGGCTGCTGCTGGTCGTGGTTGTGTCGTCCTCGTTTCCGTCATCCTGTTCATCATCATCATCATCCTCATCATCCTGCTCATGAGCATCATTGTGCTCATTATCCTCATCCTCCTGCTGCCCAGCTGCTTGCTGCTCTGGGTCCTGTTGTTCCTTTTATCCTTAGTCTCACTTTAGTAGTATTCATCTTAAGCTGGGCTGTTTTCTGGTCAGATGCGCTTTCGTTCCTCTGCGATGCTCCTGCTCAGGGCTATGAAATTTCAGACCCCCGATATTCTCTACATTTAGATTGCTTTATTCTCAGTATTGAAATCTGTTTGATCGAAGAGATGAGCCTTGGGTGCCCAAGCGCGCCTCCTCAAAGCACATTGTATATAGTGGCGAAACGCAGCGGATAGTTTCCTCCACCATGACCGTGGGTGCTTGGGGCGGTGAGGGACGGACCGGACTGATCGAGCCAGGATCGGCGAGCTCAGCAAACAAGCCCGAGCTTTGCCGTCGACCTGGCAAACGATCTGCGTATCTACATACGCATGACCGTTTCCAAAACGCATCTAGATCAATAGCAAAACAGCCCGTCTAGCCAAAAGCCTTTGGGTCATGCGACTGGATGGGAACTCATGTAGTATGGCTCCAAAAACGTGCCGAAAAAAACAAGAAGAGACATTTTGTATAATTGACACAAAAAGTATGCGACAAGACCATGCAGAATTCTCCTGCCAGGTTTTCTTCGGTGTGCCAGTTCGGAACTTCGAACATTCGGATTTCAGAGGGTTGTTTCGGACAAGCAAGATCGAAGCTTAACCCATGTCTCATAGTCCTTAAGTCACACCTGTCCAGCTCACAGGGCTGCAAAAGCATTGTACGTATGTCATATATCGAGGGTAGCACAGCATTCGCATCATGAGCATACATCACACTGGGTCTCAGGGCCAAAGCCTAACCCTCGAGCCCTCCCAGCAAGCCACGATCCGCGGAGTTCTCCACAGCACGGGCCCATGGTCCGCGCAGGACAGGTTTTGTCATGGTTTCAGCTTTCAGCTCTTCGCAGTCGTGGTCCAGTCATAGTGTAGCCTGCCTTGACTGAGCACTTTATCCAAAAGTGGTGGAGGGGTTACCGTGTTCTTTAGATCTTCAGGGTGGTAGCCTTAAACGGGTTTCCTGTGGGAGCTACGGCAAGTAATTTTCAGTTCCTAGTGTAGATCTCGACCTCGGTTTTGTTAGCAACTGCTGGTAAAGCTGCTCAATGCGTTCATAGCAGCCCACCTCTATCAATATAATAAAGGTTTTCGGGATGGACGAGAGAGAAATTATTCGTCACATAACAACAGATTAGCCATTTGCCTAGAAATTCTCCGAAGTCCTCCATCTTCAAGATGTGGAGCAGACCCTTCTTCAGCACCGTGTCGAAGTCGGGCTCAGGGATATCGTAGCTGGCAAAAACACCCTGGAAGAACCTGGGCTCGGAAAGCACAACCGGGCCACCGGGATAAGAAGCCTAGATAAGCTTGGGCCTTAACTAGAAAAATACATTGACATCGATTCTTATCTGTATCCGGATGGTCGAGACTGAATGTTCCTGCTACTGCTACATGTCACCACAGTTTTCTGATGCACGAACGGTGAAATGCCGACTTTTTGTAGTCCAAGGGCCCCGCCCGAGGCAGAGCGTGAGAATCTGATGGGGTCGACTGGGGAGCCGACTTCTTCCAGGCCCTATCGCGCCCCTTCAAAGCTAGCTCAGTTTTTGCTCAAGGTTTTCACCTGACCGCCCAGGAAGCGCGATTTAATCAGGATGCTCGGTTCTTGGCAGCGCCGACTGTCACAAGGTACAGCCCGAAAAGAGTGAAATGCACAGCTCGCCGGGAAGTCAGGCAGCAGCACTGACCTAGCAGTTCTACCAACAGTTCGCACGTTCACGTGCTGTTCGCAGGTTCACGTGCTGTTCCTGTGCATGCTCCAGGGATTGCGGCATTTAATTCTGCTCACGTTCTTTGTCATGTCTTAGAGCTGCAGCCTGCAGTTCGTGCGCACTTTTTCATGTTCGTGTTCTGAGGGCTTGCTGCAATTCTGCGCTTCCTTGCGCAAGCCAGTGACAGCATCATGTTCATGTTGACGTTGGTGTCGTTCGTTGCATTCGTCCGTCGTTCTCGTTTCTCTCCTGGGGGGGATCGCGGTCGCTCGGTGTTGCGGGGTTCGAGGCAGGCGCGGCTTGTTTTTGCTGCGGAGGTGTTCCTCTGGTCCTGCTCACCTTTTTCGTGCTCCCGTCGGCCCGGCTCCGGGATGCTGCGTGCGCCGATCGGTGGACGGCCAAAATCCTTGCCTACCCTGTCTTCGATCGTGGCTTCAGGCAAGCGGTCTCAGAGCGCCCAACAGGCCCAGCCGCCACAAGGCCCAGACTCAGACTCCAGACTGTCCGATATTTGACCCCTGTGGAAAGTGGGCACCCTGCCTGCCAGACTCATTGCGTGCCACGTTGCAACACCGAGAAGTCATGAGTTTGTCGGCCCAGCAGACTTCGTCTTGTTAGGAACTGTTGAAGTGTCTCTGCTGCGAAGGGCCCTGAACGGATTAAAGAAAAAAGGGTTTAGGGAGGCCTGAAAGTGGTAGGGACAAAAGCATGTTTTTAACCTAGTTTGAAGCCAGCCTGTGTTTTCACCCTCAGAAACCGCCCTAAAGAATGAGTATTGATTGTTGGCAGCAGCTATTAAGGCTTGAGCTTGTAAATTTCCAGCTGGGGTAGGGCCGCTTTCCTTGCCAGTGCTTGAACATGGGCTCGTCGCCGGTGTGGTGCTGTGCCTCAACGTCTCGCAGCGAAAATGATGAAGTTGAGCCGCGCTTGGAATTTGTGGATGTGAGTCCGCCAAGCAGCCCGGGTGCTTCCTCTCGCGAGCCCGAGAACCAGATTCTGAGGTGTCCGGAAATGTGTAGCTTGCGCAACAGAAAGTGCATGAGATTGCATTGCGGCACGAGAGTCATTATTGTCCAAAGTGTGCCTTGCAAGGGTACCGGGCGCAAGCAAGAACAAAAAGGATGCTCGTGAGAGTGATGCAGAAAGGTCAGCATGCAATGTTGTCGAAACAATCACAAAGCCGAAAGAAGTTTCTGAAATAG